GTTGCTGGTGCTGTATGTAGGTCAACTCCTGTGAGTCACGAATCCGAGCTGCAGTGGCCCTGCAGCTGCTTCTTGATGCGGGAGGGTAATCGGTCTGATCATTTCTTGTGCCACTCGCCCTCACCTCTCTTCTGCTTCCTTGACAGATACCAGAAGTACTGTGCTGGGTCAGCTCACCTGGCTGCAAGCTTCACAAAAATCCCTGACTTGTCAGGCCAGAAGCCCAAACGACTTACCGACCTTCCCATTTGGTGCTTCCTTCATGGCCATGCAAAGCCACAAGCATGGGGCTTGTCCTACTGCTGGGAAATGTCTCTGCACAGTGCCCTTTCAAGCAGAAGTCCCACAGCTCACAGGACTGCAATTTTAAATGTCACTCAGAAATGTTCTGTGCCTGCAGATGGAGGGGGCAGCTGGTGTCTGCCGGATATGAGGTTGCTCTGAAAGGCTGTTTTTTCTGCAGTGAGACCCCTTACCCTCTCCAGAGCTGCAGGTCCATACAACAGTTCACCATTGCTGTCACCAGTGAAAAAAATGTTGAGTAATGCCTAGCTGTCCTCCTTGTCACGTTCCTGCTTGACTTGCTCAGGTGCTTTTGAAACTCTTGTGAGCCCCCCACCCATTGCTTTGTAGGGCTCTCAGCACTAAAAATCAGTCTTGGCATGACCCTCAGTCCCTTTCCTACCAGTTTCCAGTAATAGAAATGGAAACCAAATCCAGATCTTCACCCCTATCAGAAACATCAACCACAAGGCTGTCCTACCATTTCATACGCTGCTTTTGTTTTTGAACCTTTAGACCTGTGACACATCCTCTGCAAAGATTAAATTCAAAATCAGCTGCATAAGCATAGAAAGGGAAGTCTGTCTATCAGCATACATGAAAGTGTTGTCCCCAGCCCCCTCCAAAACAAAATGGAAATGTCTCTCGTTCAAGGCAGCCTACACAATAGCGAGCTGCAGGAGCTGTAAGCTGTTATTTTAGCTCCCAAGGAAAGTAATTACTATAGCAACCAACACATCCAAATGGCTCTTTGGCTGCTACTGAGACACAAACAACTTGTGCACAAAGGCACATCTGAAACGTGCTGTGTAAAGTTTTATCAGGTAGCTGTGTTTTTTGAAGAGATTTATAAAATGTGCATAACTGGCTCCTGGTAGATGACTGCCGGGATAACAGCAAGCAACTGTACCGTGCCATGATCCTAAAATAATCTAATCAATGGCTCAGTATACTCGTCCCTGAAGAGACAAAGCAAAAAAGTACAGGCTCCATTTTAAGCCTGTGTGCTGGGAAGTACCCAGCAGAGCTGAAGATACATTCAATAAACAGACAATAAAATGGTGAGGGGAATGTCTCCCCTTTTGTTCTGTGTACTGGTACAATCTTCTTGTGGGCTTTAGTGCCAGCTCATCCCCTTGGGCTTACACAAAGTTTATTGGAAAAAGAGGATTTAATTACAGCCTCATAATGCTGGAGGGTGTTACGAGTGATGTCTGCGTTCTTTTCTGTGTCTGTGCAGCAGCCAGCCCCAGCAGACCCTGTCTCCAGCTGCAGTCCTGGGTACATCACTGATGCTGTCAGTGAATAAGGAAGCTTCTTGGGCAACAGCAAACTGTAATCATTGGCCGTTGCTTAAGTATTACAGCATTTGGAGTGGCTCTATAGCCTTCAAATCAAATGCCACTGGTAATAACATCTATAATAACAGCTTAACTGTTTCTGGGCTCTGTGGGCAAAGCTGCACCACTTCATGGTGCTGAGGCAAACAGCTAAGTTCCCAAAAACAAGAGGTCTGGCCCAAGCAGCCTGGCCCAGCAGTACTATCCAAAGACTCCCCACAGGGCAGGTACAGATATGTCACCTATCTCAAGGATGGTAAGTGGCATTTGCATCACGCTCCTGCTCCACTACATAAGGCAGCTCTGCTGAAAATGGGAGTTATGGATCTGGGTAACTCAGAACAGAGTTGGATCCTGTAAGTGAGCACATGTCCCTTCACAAGCCTGAATTGTCTTTTAAGATTTCTTTCACCAGCTGAGTCCTAAAGTCTTGCTCTGGGTCCAGAATAAACTGAAAATCACAGCTGGGTTTAAAATAAAGACAAAATTAAGGAAGGAAGTGTAGTGATGTAATTTATTACAGAAGTGCCTCAGGATCAACCGAAAAAAGGATCTTGTGATAGCAGGTATTGTATAATAGAGAGTCTTGGCTGACTGTAGCCTTTTAAGCAAAGTCACTTTATTTTGGATTAAAGAAAAACATATAAAAAAAAGACACAAAAATAAAGTACCCAAAAGAAAATAAGACAAGCATGTGTAAAATCCAATGTCTTGCTTCTGCCTTGCAAAATAGTAGCTGCCCCGCAGGCACCTGGAGTTTCCAAGCTACTGATCCCAAGGAAATAAATTCTCCTCTGTAATTTTTCTCGTATCAAGTTTATTTCTGACAGTAGTTGACAGTGCATCAAACAGCTCCTTCAAAAAAACAAAAAAAAAAACCAAAAAAAACCCCACCAAAAAACCCCACCAAAAAACAAACCACCACCAGCAACCTAAATTGTTCTTTTTGGTGGAAAGAAAGGACCATACACTCAGAGGCTGGCTTCCCAGCTTGTCTTTGCTACTAGACAGAGATGTCTCTCCTTGTTTAGAGGAGCTGGGGCCAGGCTTCTGGACAGCATGTAACCTGCCTTCATGCCATGCCTCTGCTATACCTGCAGGATCACTGACTGTGATAGAGCAGATGAACCCTTTTTCCTCACAAACATCTTGGGCTGCAAAAAGCTGCTGCAGTAACTTTTTGGTGAAAGGGGAGATACAGAGAGATACAGAGAGCTAGTGTACTGTGCAGCTGCTTGTGCAGAGTCACAAGGCAGAGAAGTGAAACTGAAGTCTTGGAGATGTGCAGCAAGATTTTCTGAATGCTCACCAGCTGTGGAAATGCCTTGCTGCCAATGTCAGGCATATTCAGGCCTGGTACTGTTGTTTTCTTCTGGGAAGAAAGAAGAGAAAAATGCAAGCATCTTGCGTTTGACTCTCACTGTATGCAAAACTCAGTGCCACAGTGAAGAAGGTCTGAAAAAAAATCTCTCTCAAAAATAGGAATGACCAAAACGAAAATCCAGTGTAGCGAGATACTGAACACAGCTCACTTGTGTCCTGCCTCCCCCTCTCGCCTGCCTCCCCCATTTGCCAGAGTTAGACAGGTCGGGTGCACACAAAGGCAAACTAGGAGAAATCCTCTGGGTAATGAAGCAGGACTTTTGAAATACCTTGCTCAAATCCTGAAGCTGACCTTGCTCCACTGCCCTTATTGTTTTGTGCAAGATTCAGTCTTGTGCAAGCTGGTTTCTTTTCTGGTTTATCTGTCAGCCTGAAAATTGAACAGATGAAAATGAACAGATTTGTCTGTGGTATTGCTTTTGCGCCTGCACGGTTTTAGATGTCACTGGGGCTTGAATGATCACGCACCTGTGAAGGTGTGTGAGAAGATGAAAGAGTCCATGATATTATATCAGACAAAGAGTTAGATCTGCACCTTCTCCAGTGTGAATCAGAGAAGTAAATCAAAATGGCAGTTCCTGTCACGCTTAAAAACCACACCGTAATGAAAGCTTGCCTTTGCAAAGCAGAAATTCTTCCTATGTCTGGAGAAGCATGTTAAGAGACAGGTGTTGAGGGAGCCAAAGCACTGAGGAGTGAGCTTCTGGGAGTGCTTTGCACGTGAAAACACTTAATGAATCAGTTAGAAATGTGGCTGTCCTCTCTTCCACCTGCCAGGAGCTTTCCTCACTCCAAACAAGGTGTGTGCTGTGCCCCGGCCCGTTTCAAACGGTGGTATTGATGAGCAGTAAAAAGCATGTTTACTTGCAATGTTGTTTTCAGGTAGTGATCGCCAATTGTGAAGGTGCAGAAGGAAACACAGGAACATCCGTACATGTCACTCTGCAAACACAAGGCCGTTGCTAACAAAGAAGTGCAGGTTTCAAAACCACTGCTGCTGAGCTCTGGGTGGGACGTTTTGTTTCTGTGTCAGCTTGGAATCCACAGTTTGTCTTGTCTGAAGATGATTGCTGTGTCTGAAATGAATATTTAGCAACCACTGTTTGATCGATTGGGGTTTTTTGGTGGCAGTTCTTGGAATTATTGGTTCTTTGAACAAGTTCTGAAAACGGCCCCTCATAAAAATATGACAATATCAAATTGTAGTGAAGATCTTTCACATTGCACTTGAGCCTTGCCAAGAGATACCAAAAATGTACACGCACATTACTTAAACGTTGCTAGGGTTTCCCTGCAGACTGAAATTTCCCACAAAGACCTGACAGACAGGAGAACTTGGTATTTCAAAAGATGATGATTTTCAATGGAGTCCGGATCAGGGTCATGTGAACGTGACTTGCAGAATAACACCTGGCTAGCAAATGACCTGAGCCTGATTTACACCTCTGTCAGCAGGTGCTAGACCTGCCTTGTGCCTCTTGTGGAGGGGCTAAGGGCAGGGCACTAAGGGAGAAAACAGCATTTTGTCACATCATACTTTGCAAGGGCCCTGAAAGCTGCGGCAGCATAAGGGAAGTGGGGGAGTAGAGCTGGTGGCGGTGATGCTCTGTGCTCCAAAAGCCTGAACATGCAGGCAGCACAAGCCCGAGCACACGCAGCCTTGCTCCCTCTTTTTGTCATCCTTTCCTCTCTCGTCCACCCAACTAGACCCAGATGGCCACTGCTCGTGGGTGAAAGCCCTCGGCACCTCTCCCCTCTCCATCGCACGCCTCTGCAGCCGCGCTGCTGCTTGCCAGCATGCCGCCCGCCGAGCCGAGCCGGGGTGGTAGGGAGCAGCCAAGGTGCTGCATAACTCCTCCCAGCGCTGGAAAGCAATCATGTGATTTTTATGACTGTTTGCTCTGCTCCCGGCCACCATTACTTCCTCCTGAGCGTTCTTCCCCAGCAAGGCTGCAGCTCCTGCCAGCAGTGCCAGGGGCCAGGTTTTGGGGAAAAATGACAGAAGTGAAGAGAGAGGTGTTTGGACAGATGCCCCAGGAGGAAGGAGGAGGAGTGGTGGAAAAGTTCATCTTAAAGTCAGACAGCGTGAAAGCGGAGATCCTGTCCTTAGGGTGCATAATCGCCGCTCTGGAGACAAAAGGCAGGGATGGGGAGTTTTCAGACGTTGTCCTAGGCTTTGACACTTTGGAAGGTGGGTCTAAATCTGTTTCTTTTTTTAAAAAAAAAAAAAAAATCAGGCAATTTAACTAGCATTGTCTGGTTTATTGCCACATTGTGTGATCTGCTTCTAAGGGTCCTCTACAAATTGTGGGCTGAATAAATACAACTCCTGCTGCCTGTCCTGGGCTCGGTGGTAGATGGGGAACAGGGACACTGGTGGCTCCAGGTTGCAATCTGCCCCTCTAACAGCATGGCTCCGTGTCACCCTTTGACCAGAAGTGACAGAGGCCTTTTCTGCAAATCTGCAAAGAATACAAGATCCCGTCAGGCTGTTTTAATCAAAGATGTGCATAACTAGTGAGCTGTATGTCCCGTGAAACACCAGGACTGAAGTGACCTATTTAGGAGTGGGGAGAAGCAGAGACACCTCTGAGTCCATAAGCACCTGCCTGTCCCATCCCCATCCTTCTGTTTCACTGTGCGCTGTTTTTCCGGCCAGGTTACACAAGGAAGCATCCCTTCTTCGGTGCTGTTGTGGGGCGTGTTGCCAACAGGATTGCAAAGGGGAGGTTCACCGTGGAAGGGAAGGAGTATCAGCTGTTCCTCAACAATGGGCCCAACAGCCTGCACGGAGGAGCCAGGGGATTTGACAAGGTGAAAGTTAGGCTGGCGGGTCCTGGTGTCCTCCAGCACACAGCCCATGAGCTTGTGGCAAGAGGATACGATGTCTTCACTCCTGACCCTGTGGGGTTTTCTGGTAGTTATTGAGTTGAATCAACTTCCAGAAAGCGCTGTGGGTGCAGCAACAGGGGGAAAGTGAGACCCTGTGAGCTGCTAGGTCAGCTCGTCTTTGCCCAGGTGGCTTAACAGGCCTCCCTTATGTCATCCTTGGATGTCGTGCAGAGGGTTGCTGTGCTTCCTCTGTGTTACTGCAGCCCTGGGGCCTCATGAGCCCAGTTCTGACAGGTTTGTTCCATGGTGAAGTGCTGCTCCCGCAGCCTGGGTTGGGACATGGCAATGAGGCCCCAGCCTCATGCACGATGGTGGTCCCGAGGCCGCACCGCCTTGGAGGGGGTGCTGTAGTTGTGCCAGTGCCCAGAAAAGGTTTCCTGGGGGAGAGTGATCCACGCAGAACTGCACCTGCAGCTTCAAGGCTGTTACTCGCCCATAGCTCCTCCCAGAGTCAGAAGGTCTCGGGTTTGCAGAAACTAAATGTCATTCCCGTTTGCTTTTTGACAGCACTCCCAAGTAAGGGGAGAGAAGGGTGCTGCTACAGGTTTAGTGCGGTTATTGCATTCCCCGCCTTGGTGCTGCTTTCATCCTGGTGACAGCATACCCATGGCTCTTGCTCTGACTCACAGCAGTGTGTGACTAGATCAGGCCTGCAAAATGCTCCAGCATCACTGTGTCCTCTTCCCTGTGACCTCCCAAGATAAAATAACCTTCCCCTGGCCCCAGGGCACTCAGCCCTTTGTATCTTCTCCCAAGAGATGCTGCTGAAGTCCAGATACACCTGTGTGCTATAAGAAGTAAGATCAGCAGAGCACCTCCTCTCTTGAAACCCTTGCTGATAACTCTGCTGATAGCTTAGAAAGCTCAGAAGTCTTTGCCTTCCTGAAGCCTTGGGCTTTGTCAGATCAAACATATTTGTAACCAGCAAATAGCTGATCCACCATTTCCCCAGAGGAATGCAGGTGAATATGCTGGTGCGGCTGCTTTCCTAGGTTAATGTTTTGTTTCATAAAAGGGCATCTAGGCCACAGGGGCAAAAGTCAGAGTGCCTGGAAAAAAAGCTCACTTCTGGGCAGCACACTGTGAACTGGCATCAGATCAGGATCAGCTCCTCAACAGCTGCAGAAAAAAGGGAGTGCTGGGGTGACTTGCCTGTTGTACACCCCAAGAGGATAATTTGGTTTAAAATTTCTTCATATACCCTGACTCGCTGGGAGATGGAGCTGAAAACATGCACTCCTTTGCACTCGGGGCTTCCAGGCTGTCTTCTGCAGACAGGGTGACATGGTCTCTTCTGCCTCTTCCCCTTGCTTGCTGAAGGCACACCAACTTGGTGGGGTTAAGGCAGCGACACCTCTCAGCTAGGGCTTTTTGTCCTCTTGAGGCACCTGCCCAAGACCTCCTCCAGCCAGGTAACTGTCACTGTGCAGAGACTTGTGGTCAGCCCTAACAAAAACAAGACGTGCTGGCTCTTGGCTGTGACTGTCTTGGCCATCTTGTCAGTTTTTCCTAATCTTGCAGATCTCGGTTATGTGGTCAGCGTGTGGTCTGATGACAAGGAGTCTTGCAGCCACGTTTATGTGGTGGCGATCTGACCAAGCTGCTGGGGGACTGGGGGACTTTCAGAAAATAACCCTCTTAGCTTTAAAAAACGGTGATATCTGTACGCTTACTGGCCTTTAATAGCTTTTTCTTTGAAGAACTTAAATAGAAACTCATACATAAACCCACAGTGTTCCACAGCAGTGGGAGCTGTAATCAAATTGCACTCAGTGCAGGAGGACCTGCTCTGCAGCCTGATTATCACATTTGTCACCCTCAGTTCCCATGTTTGGTGAAAAATGTTGGCTTTTCACAAGTGCCCCAAGTTTGAAATCTCTTCATTGGACATGAAAGGGGTCATCTCAAAAGTGTCATCTGGCCCCTGCCCCTAGATCTGTCCTCTTTGATTAGACAGTAACTATTCCTTAGGTAGACGCAAAGCTCCAGAGACTGGACACCTCGCTTCTTGTTGCACATCCGTCCTGCAAGGGGCTGAGACATCTGCTTAGCATCAGATCCACAGCCAGCATCAAACAGGCTGTCTGGGCAGCTAAATTTACAGTGTGCTGGCTTGCTTTGCTCACCAGCATGTTTGGCTCCAAGCAGAGCCCTGGTCTCTGGCAGGGGCAAGAAACAGAGAGGTCCCACTTCTCTGGATCAACAGTGACATGTGGACGCACCAGGCAATACGCGTGGTAGTATTTAACCCAACCCCAGCTCCTCAGCAGGAGCTCTCAGTGTGTATTTATGTCATCCTAGAAGCCAGCCCCGAGTTAGCTGAGGGAAGGGCAGTGGCTTGGTGAGGCAATGTTGCACACCAAGAGGTCCACAGGAGGGGGAATAAGTCCAGCTGCAGGGCAAAAATCAAATGCATGAACCCTCTTAGGCATGGAGTAACACAGGCTGGGACAGATGCCCATCAGTGCAAACTGCCTTATTTGTTTGGCTGCTCGTTGGAAAACTCGTTCCCTGATGCTGGCCCTGGCTGATCAAGAGCAGGCTGGTGTTTGTGTTTTCTTTCACTTCCTCTTTTCAGCAAGGAGATATTGGGGTTTAGTCCTTCATAGGAAGAAAAAGATTGTTTGGGCTTTTTTTTTTTTCTTCTAGGAGTAAGAGCAGGAAAGATGATGGAAACAACCTTTGTTTCAGTCCATCATTCCTTGAGTAGCTTTTGTCCCTGGGTTCAGCCCCACCTGGGGCAGGAGAGAAGGGCATCATGTTTCCTTCAATTGTCCCACCAGTGGCACGATCCTTGCAGGTTCTCTGGAGCCCCCAGGTCCTCCCGAATGGTGTCTGCTTCTTCCGGCTCAGCCCTGATGGTGAGGAAGGCTACCCCGGTGACCTGAAAGTCTGGGTGACCTACACACTCAGTGGCGGGGAGCTGGCCATCAACTATCGAGCCCAGACCAACAAGACGACACCCGTCAACCTGACAAACCATGCATACTTCAACCTTGCAGGGCAGGTAAGGGAAATGGACCCCACGGAGGGACGCCATGCAGAGGGAGAAAGCCTAGGGACCTGTGGGATGATCCATTGGCTTCCCATGGGATCATTGGGACTGACATGCTGGTCTGGGCACACAGCATACTTCTGGGAACATAGCGGTGGGGATTGTCTCTCTGCATGGGCTGTGTTCAGCCTATGAGCCTGGGACAGGACTGAATCAGGTAGACCTCAGCTGGGGATGCGTTATCCCAGTGCGTTGTAAACAGAGACATCCCATGATGAATATTAACTCTCCTTTTGTGTGTAGCTGGGGAGTTTCAGTCTCTTCTGGTCCCTTGGGAAGACTACAGAGGGAGTGCAGAGCTGGCATGCCCTAGTGGTGGCCTGGCATTTCTGAGCTGTCTTCTGTTGGTGCTTCTGAGACAATGTGCAGAATGTGGATGGTGCAGCTGAGATCAGGGCCTGTAGGGCCAGCCAGAGTCAGCGCAGCACCGAAATATCCAGGTTAAAATGAGGAGGAGAAACATGGAACAGGCTGCCCAGAAAGGTTGTGGAGTCTCCTTCTCTGGAGACATTCAAAACCTGCCTGGACGTGTTCCTGTGTGATCTATTCTAGGTGGTCCTACTCTGGCAGGGGGATTGGACTAGATGATCTTTCGAGGTCCCTTCCAACCCATAACATTCTGTGATTCTGTGAGGCAGCCAAGGTTGCAGAGCGGAGCAGTAGCAGGGTGCAGATGGCTCTCACACACCAGCCCAGGATCCTGCCAACCAGACAGGCACTGTATCACAGCTGTGTTTTAGTCTCACCCTGTTTATAACTGGTCTTGGAGAAAAAGGATCTGGGAGGTAAAATGTTGCTGGGCAGAGCAATAGGATGGGACAGTGCAGTTGCACTTGGACGTGAGACAGAGACCCGTAAAAATGTTAGTGAGAGACATCCCAGCCCCTCGGTGTAGGAGGTCTGCTCAGGCTACTGCCCTAATAATGGCTGTTAGTTTACCCTCCATTTGTCCTTCCAGCAGTACAGTAACATCAACACCTACAGCATGCAACCCAGGTGTGTTTCCAGAGGAACAGGAGACCTTCGGGCAAGAAATTACTGCTCAGATGAGACAGTTACGTGCAGGCTCAGCTTTGATCCTGCTCTCCTTCCAGCACAGTAGGTTCCCTGCCAGCATCCCTGAGGCTGCGGCAGAGGAAGAGGAGTGCAACCCCCTGCGCTGCAGGAGATGAGCCAGGAGGACGGATTGCGCTTCCCCATGTTTTCTTCCTTCCCCTTTTGCCCACCACTGCGTGCTCAGCAACCAGCATGTTTTGGCTAGTTCATCTGAAGGGCGGTAGTTCTTGGTGAGGTACAAGTTCAGACCAATAGTCTCGGTCCTAGGTCCAGGATTTACAGCTCCTGGGTTGCATGCAGGTTTTTGCCTGTGCTGGTATCTTCCTCCTGTGCCCAGGGTTGAGGTGGGATGAGAGCCAGGAGGTCCCCTAAGCAGTACCAGATCAGCCGTAGCACCACCACGGGCAGTCGCTTCCCGGGTGTTCTTAGGGCTGCTCGAACAGTGGAAGGGCTGCAGCAAGAATCCCAGTGTTTCCCATCCTCCGGCAGGGCGCACAGGATATCTACGACCACGAGTTTGCTATTGAAGCAGATTCCTACCTGCCTGTGGACGACACGAAGATCCCTACCGGTGGGTGGTGTGACACCTGCGGCACACGGTGGGGATGGTTTTACAGATGAGTATTTGTGGGTATCGGGGAACAGCACTGCCTGGCAAGGAGGGGGACACACCAGGACCCAGAGGACCCCAGGCACAGCAGAGCCATCACCCATGGGCACAGCCCCACAATGTCTGAGCAGAGTGGGCAGAGCCAGGTATAACAGGGGCCATCACCAGCCCCAGATCTGGAGAGGGGGCGGACCAGCGTCCATCCAGAGGGTGTAGGCAAGAAGCAGTAGGAAAAGGGGCCAGAGGCAAGTGCGCTGCAAGGCTGCAACATGGGTCCAAGGGGCCATCCAGGAGACAAGCAACCTATGACACAGGACCAAAGCATGTCCCTCCAGACCTGTTTGGCCAGCATTTCTCTGCAGGTCAATCCATTGTTCCCAGGGCCAGTGGGGCCACCAGAGGGGGTCACTCAGTAGTTTGAGAGCTGAGGTTGGCCTGGGGTTTGCCTGCTTTGCTTCTCCAGCAACATTTGGCTTTATCGTACTTCTCTACTGGGATCTTCCATGTGATGTCAAGGTCTTATTTCTGCAGATCTTGTTTCCATAAGATCAGCCCATGCTCAAAGTCCACAGAAAGCAGGAGAATTCATTTTCTAAGCCTCAGTAAAATGTGAGAGGTGCAAGCAGCATGCACCAGGCACAGGGCTGCTATTGATAAATGTGATGGCACACCAGGACATAGTCAGACTCCCTGATCTGGAGGGCAGCTCCCAGGCCCAGAGCTGAGCTCTAGAGCTGCTGGGATCTCTGGTGCCTGGGAGCCCAGCATCGTCTTTCCCTGCAAAAGCTGAGCCATCAGTCCCCTCATGGGGATGGGAGAGCTCGTGCTACTGGCTGGGAGGCTGAAGACACAAGACCGACACTCTTCTTTCCTGTCTTTAATGTCCTGCATGGCTAAAAGAGGAAAGCCAGTTAAGGAAAACAGTGTGTTTCGCATGCTAAGCAGGTTAATTAAACAAAGGTGATATTGCTGCAGTGTGGAGAAGTGAGCTGGCAGCCTCTTGCACCCAGTCTTGATTCAGTGGGTAAAAAGGAGAAAACAGGGCTTTCTAGTTTTCTTTTTTTTACCCCACCACCACCACTTCCACTCTGTTCCTCCCCATAAACAACCAAGGTGCTAAGTTAAATAATGTGAACAAGCTGGGGCAGGCAACACGTTCCCTGTACCCACCCACAGGAGAGTCAGCACCAAACACATGCGCTCCACGATGGTCCCACTGCTAACAAGGGTGGACCTTGCTTTGGGTGGCTTGACTCCAACTCTCCCACCGCTCCAACACCCACTTCTCATTTAGTGTGACTGCACTGAGCTGCAGTAAGAGTTGATCTAATTGCAAAATGAATCTGATGCCAAGTTTGCTGGGTTTTGGTTTTTGGTTTTGTTTTTTTTTTTAGAATGAAAAGCGTTACTTAAAAAAAAAAAAAACACCTGCATTTGGCTTAATTTTTGAAAAATGTAAAACAGAATGAAATAATCAAAAAAAGGGACATCTAGATTTGCTCCTGAATGATGGCTTTTCATCTAGCCCAACTGACTTAGAGGAACGGAGGCCATCAGAGCGCAGATGCTGGGCAGGTGATGGTGCCGTGCCATGCCAGAGTTCTCTGAAGGACAGAGCAGTGACAGGAGCACCCAGCAGCCAGTCTGGGGCATAAAAGTGATGGGAAGGCTCTTGATGGAAGAGAAACTGGGTGTGGAGTGGGAGGTGTGCCTGAGGGCTGCATGAGCCCGCAGTGTGGTTTCTGGTAAGCATGGGCTCTGCTGGAAATGGCAGGGCTTGTTTCCCTGACACGCTTGCAGGGCTGCTTTGCTGAGTGCATCTTCTGACTTCAGGAGGGAGAGAGGCTTTAAAAAGCAAAAAAAAAAAAACCACCCAAACAAGCAAGCAAGAAAGCTTTTAACTCAAGTGTCTGCTAAAACCAGAGTTACGGCAGTGTTCATGAACCAAAACCATTGTGCGTGCACGCGCTTGGAGGAGTGGGTCTCCTAGCCCAGGTGATTTTGCTCAGCTTGCTGTGTCTCGCCTGGGCTCCAGCCAGGAAAGTTTAAGGCCCTAACAAACGTGCTGCCCTGCTTCTACCCACTGCTTTCACCATGGAGCTGTTTCACATCTTGATTGCAGCCGGCTGCTGCCCCTGCTTTTTGCAGTTCCCTCTTGGTGTTTTGGGTAAATGTAGTCTTGAAGCTGATAAAACTGTGCATAGTCTTAGCCATGGGGTGAAGATCAGATTTGTGCAACTATTAGAGCCAGAGCCCTCGCGTGCAATGGCTGCTGTATTTTACATGAGTGCCTAAATCAAATTTTTTTTTTTTTTTCAGGGTGTTTTTCCACCCTGCAGCTGAATTCAGTAAATGCGTTCCTTTTAGATAGTATCAGAAGCCACAGAAATGTGCTGTTTGTCAGGTGGAGACTGATGTTTCTCAAGCTTTGCAGAGCAGAACTGGTGCAGAGACACAGCTGAGCTAGGCATGTGACTGCAGCAAGCAGAGCACGGCACCCGGGGCTGGCAGAAGGGCCAGGGTGCCCGCATGCCGCCATCCCCAGCAGTGGCAGCTGCCTGCTGACCCTTGGAAACCTCTCCCTTTAGAAGAGGGTAGAAAAATGCGATTTTAGGGAAAAATCCCCTCCCCTGCCCTTCCTCGCTCGCCTCCCCCATGCAAAACCTCTTCCCTTTGGGTCAGAATGGCTGCTTTGCACTGTAGTTAGTATGTCTTAGCGTTGTTCTCGCTGCAAGAGCTTTATCACAGTGTGATGCTGGGTCACCACATCAGGCCTTAAAAATAGAATTGAGAGAAAATGCTGGGTTTATGGTCTTAAACCTGCTTTTGCTGAAACAATGCCCTGAGGCATTAGGAGACTGGTCCCAGCACACAGCCCATATTCACCATCCAGGTGGGTGGGCCACGTTCACAGCCATCTCATAGATGTTTGCTCTGAGATCTGGGAGGATTAATTTAATTATTTAGAGAGAGGGACACAGATAGTATATATGTAAAAATCCTATGCGTATATAATATTAATAGCTAATAAGTTGCGGGTTTGTATTAATTGGCTTGTATAGTTACAGATACAAGCCCCCCCTCTTGTTTTCTGGCTCCTCGGCTTTGCTTTGTCCCAGCTAAGCACAGCAGTGTCCCCGGGGGCTCCCAGCTATGTTGGGGGACAAAGCAGTGATGTCCTAGCCCGAGTCACAGCGGCCACAAGGCAAGCTTGCTCGAAGCTGGGCACCGCAATGTGACAAGGATCACATGAACGGCTTAAAATCCTCAGCTCACCAAAGAGAGGGATCTCAACCCTGCGCAGGGGCCAGTGCCGTGGGTAAGCACAGCAGTGTCCCCGGGGGCTCCCAGCTATGTTGGGGGACAAAGCAGTGATGTCCTAGCCCGAGTCACAGCGGCCACAAGGCAAGCTTGCTCGAAGCTGGGCACCGCAATGTGACAAGGATCACATGAACGGCTTAAAATCCTCAGCTCACCAAAGAGAGGGATCTCAACCCTGCGCAGGGGCCAGTGCCGTGGGTGTTTGCTGGTGGGTGGGTGGGTGGCTGACACTGATGTTCTTGCCCAGGGGAGGTGGCTGTCGTGCAGGGCACCAGCTTTGATCTCCGGCAGCCCGTGGAGCTCGGGAAGCACTTGGAGAAGTTTTGCCTGGATGGTTTTGACCACAACTTCTGTCTGCAGCAGGCACAGGCTCGATGCCTTGCAGCCAGGTAGGCTGGGACCCCGGCAGGGGTCCCCCACCCCTGGAGCCATGGGGTGCCCATTCAGCAAGCCCCTTGGCATCCTCCACTGGCATCTCCCCAGGGCTCACCACCCGCCCACTGGCAGGACCATGGAGGTTCACACCACCCAGCCTGGCATCCAGTTTTACACCGCAAACAATCTGGATGGCTCCCTGAAGGGCAAAGGTGCCATCGCATATTCCAAGCACTCGGCTTTCTGCCTGGAAACCCAGAACTGGCCCGATGCCATCAACAAGGTGAACTGTCCCCCACACCCAGGAGCTGCTCGGGTCCTGCAGCAGGGGACCATACAACCACCCGTGTTTCTGGGGTGTTAAATATATGAATGCAGCCTGTTTGGTGAGGGGACACTTTGCAGACACCAGAACCAAGGCAGGCACAAGTCACAGCATCCCGTGGCATGATGCAGGGGTCAGCCAGCTCAGCGGGGATGAGTCCCACACAGCCCAGCTCCCCAGGGGCACCAGGGTATAGAGCAGAAGACCCCACTGGGGCCTTGCCACATCCTCTCCACGGGGTCTGAATTGAATCAGGGGGAGGGCTTGCCCACTCAGCCAGAAGGCAGGTAACAGTAGGTTAAACACTGCCACTGGAAATGCCCGGGGAGGGGGGGAGCCGTGGGATGAGGGGGAGCCAAGGGATGCAGCCCCAGGGAGGCTGAGGGGATGTGGCCATGCCCTCGTGACCCTTTCCGGTGCCACGGTGTGCACTCACAATCACTGACATGCTGCTCTCTCTCCCCAGCCCCACTTCCCCGACACCCTACTCCGGCCAGGCCAGGAATACAACCACACCACATGGCTCATGTTCAACACTGCCTAAGGAAAGAGGATGCTGACTCCTACCACCAAGAGGGGTAAGTGCCTCCAGCAGATTAGCCAGAAATCCCCCCAGGTGCCAAATGGCGCTTTCAAACTACCCTGGGTGATGTATCCTATTTGGGAACTTTTTTCCTTCTCTGTGTTTTTTTTTTTTTTCTGTGGTTTTTGCTGGCTTTAACTCCTGCCACCACCTCTGCTGCTGTCTGGTCTGTGCAGAACTCTCATGCTCTGTCCAGCCTCAGCCTGGGCATTAGGTTTTGCTTCGCAGTAAAAATGCACTGAAAACACCTTGTTTGGGGACATGGCATGCCACGGCTGAAACTACAGCAGGGGAATATCTGGTAATACACACGTAGGGCATGTGGGAAGGCTGATAAAGTTGTTGTTGTTGTTCGTTACAACATCAGCTATTCCCAGCAAAGCACTGGCTGCGGCTCACCACTGACCTACAGCTCAGCGTCAGCTCGTCAAAGTGTGCCCTGCCCTGCCCTTCCCATGCCAGGCAACAGGGCAGCCCTCAAGGCCGGAGCCACCAGGTCTGACAGCAGCGTTGTGATGGCATGGGTACTCAGCGGTCACGCAGAGTAGCTTTGCAGAGGTCGATGGGCTGGGATTATCCCAGCTGGCCACCCTCACTCCTCTGGCTTAACTTCTATCTCGATAGCTCCCCAAGAGTATTTCCCACGCTATGCCTTGGCTGATGAAGTGGGTGTATCACTGCAGGAGGAAAATTATCATCTTAATGTTGTGTTTCTATGTGAAATATCATCCTCAAAACCCTGTAACAGGGGCCTGTCTGACAAAAACCTCCAGTTCCCGAGGTTTCATAAAAGATTGGCACAAGCCAGGGAGGCGGCAGTGCCACCATATTAGGGAACTAGCACCCCCCTCCCCAGAGGCACAGGGATGGCCAGCCCTTGGGCCAGGCACCTCATGCGAGGCACCACAGCCTGATTCCCACCTTCTCCTGCCATGATGCTGACAAAGGGGCTGCCCAAACCCTAGCTCCCACTGGCAGATGGTGGCCAGGGCCCACAGCCATCCAGCATGCTTCCTCGGCTGCAGGGATGACCTTGACCCCAGTGGAAGCGCCTGGCCAGTGGGCTCACCAACACGACAGACCTGTCACGGTCAGTTCCACCACCTTGACCACCCCTAAAACAAGCACCCCGCTACCTTTCTGCAACGCCCCAAGCACATGGACGTGAGCAAGCGCTCACAAACACCATATGGAATTTTGGGTGAAATCCTACCAAACTCAAGTGAGAGCTGGAGCTGTGCATCCTGCTCCAAGGATGACGACTGGAGCAGAGGGAGGCAGCAGAACCACCCTGTTTTGGTCACCGCAGAATCATGGACAACGAGTTTGCCACTGCCTCCTTTCTGCACCTCAGGGTGCCCTTTGTAGTGGCCACAGCCGCAGGCAAGGCCATCCCTGCCGGTACAACCCTGCCTCCTTGCTCAGGTTCTCACCGCTCAGCCTGGGTTTAGAGGAATCCCAGTCCCCTACAGAAACCCCAGGCTCCTCTGCCCTGTCTTCCAGCGGCTCTGGGTACTGAAAAACAGGTACAGCCATCACGTTAGTCTGTGGGTTTATTGTGGAGTAGGCTTGCCTTAAGAGTACAGAAGAGAAAAAAAAGCTGATCAAATGCCAGAGCAGCAGCATACGCGTACCTCTCACCAGGTATGCTATACACCGGGCAGGCAATGCGTGACCAACACGTATTCCAAACAGAAGTCACAGGCTTTGGACATTTCTGCTGAATTGCTGCAGGGCAACATTTGTCACCCCCATCCCCGCTCTCCCACTGCAGCAGCAGTGGAATTTAACGGATATTGTCAGAAAATTGATCGTTGCACCTGGTTGATGAAACATTAATCCCCATTGCTAAGCAGCCAAGAGTGCCCAGGCAGCCACCAAGCACAACAGCCAGGACTAGGCATAAAGGCCAGACAATGCTGCAGCATGACAGTACGTTCAGATGCTGGACTGTTTATTCATACACTGAAAAAGCTCCATAAAGTTCACAGGAAACCTGGTTTTTGAAAATCATGGGTTACCCAGGGCGGGATCAAAGTTAAATCTTGTCATTTTTTTTTTTTAAGATGCTCTCCTGTGGTGAACACACTGGAAGCAAACTGCCATGACAGATTTCATCAGAAGCCCACTTTCCATTTCGGTGCTTGTTTACTGCCACAACCGGCGTTTATTTCTGCTTATATCCCACTGCAGTTAAAAAAAAAATAAAAATGTTGCTTTTTCCCTCTCCGCCTACCAGTTTGTTCGTTCAGTCTAACATTGTTTCCAGTCTTTCACTGTGATCTGTGTCAACAAAGTACCTTATTATGCAACACTTGACTACAGAATGAGGACAGAGACTTTTCCACACCTATACACAAATCACTCATCCTGCAGGTGTGCATTTGCTGGAAGAAATTAGCTTCACTTCACAAAATTGTTTCCAGGATCCGGGCTGCTTAAAGACCATACCAATTTCCGTGAAGCAGGTTAGAATTCCTGAGGTCAGCTGCAAGGAGCCTTCCCTTCAAGGGGGAATGTTTGAGTGAGCTGCAGAAAGACTAGTAACAGCTTTCTTCTGCCTCTTAAACACATTTTCCTAAGGTCCTTCAGGAAGTCGGTCAGGAGACCTTACATCTTCCCTCAAAAAAGGAACACACGCACCCAGACACTTTAAGAGGTTTCCTTTGTATTAACAGCCTAAGGAACTAAAAAAAAATGCAACAAGCACAAGTAGCGATTGTCAAGTTATTACCAATTTCTATTACGTTTAGAAGCCTCCGCAGATGTTATTCATTTAAAAGACATCAGCGTTTCAAATAGAAGCTCATCCTTAAATTTCTAGGCATCTGGTATCTCGATGAGTCAAACATCAGAGCGAAAATTTTGCAGAGTAACTAGAGGAGGGAGAAAAGTGAATGCCCACTAAAGACCATAAAGGAATAAAAGGGGCATATGCCAATTTCTAGCCATCTCCAAGCAGATGGATTTTAAATTCCATTTCAAAGCGAGCAGAAACCGATCCTTTCGCCGAAGACCACTCAGCAGTACATGTGAGAAGTGACTAGTTAGAGAAGACACCGATGTTAGTTGTTCCCGTTTTAGGCATTTTTCATCCACATCACATCGCACGCAGCTAACATTACCCAAACGTTAACAGAAGCAGCAGGGTTACTACAAAGGAGTTTTAGTTAAAAATACACATTTTATTTCAATGTGCCAATAAAAAAGTCCCACATTTCCGTATCACAGGAAGTTAATTCATACAGTAAAAAGAGACCTGTGCTAGTCTATTGGTGTGGTAACTCAGGAGACCCAGACCATGCCAAATTTCAGTTGATATACTGTTCTATCTACATTCTTACATTTACAAAGACACCACAAAATCCCTTATAATAATGTAAGCAAAATAACTTTCTTCCTAAAAGATTAACTTCATAACTTTAATCCATTCTTTCAGGACTTGCACTTCTTTGAGGGCTTCCTGATGGTGAATGACTGAAAGGAAAAGAATCCACAGTTAACATCTCAGAGTCATTTGGGACTCACAAACACAGGAAAAAGCAACAGGAGGTACCAAGACTACTCCGGTGCCATTTAAGCCTTTGTTTTTAATAAAATAACTGATCACTATTGACAAAGTTAATGGGTCAATGAGTTAATGTTAATATTACATATATAATAATGACAATACTTTATGTGATCGTTGCAAAGTCACCTAAAGGGTACTACTAGTAGTGACCTCCGCGGACGCGGGATACTTCTTCACTGTTCTGACACTGCAGCGTATCAAAACCTATTACGTGATCACTCCACATTTACAGGCATTTATTCAAGTCCCTTGCGGTGGTGACGTCACACTGCACACAGCCGTGTTTCTATGGGAAGCAAACCCAAGTGCAGAAGTCCTGTTTAGTTTGCAGGGCAGAAGGATCACCAAGGCGAGGGACACACCGTGGCAGGCCTACAGCTAGTCTTACTAGGATACATCCCCTCCCCGCAAATACTGAAGTTGTAGAAATGAACTACTAAAGAGTTCAAACTAGGGCAAAAGATGCTGCTGATTCTGTCACTACACATATATGCGCACACACACACACACACACAGAGATAAAACATTCTCCAACTTATCAGGGAAAATAATAACGTGAGTAACAGCAGTGAAGACAGCAGAGAAAACCTCCTATTCCTGACTGCTATGCCAGGTTACTCCACTCTATCTTCCCCAATCTCGCTGCAGCTTTTAACGAGACTCAAAGACGATTCTCACGTTTATGACATGCTTTAAGCTCACCAGCAGAAAGTCTCTGTGCAACAAAACTATTGGCAAACTGAAAGGAACACAGGAGCAGACAAAGGCAAGACATAACGCTGCTACGTAACTAGTACTCCGAGGAATTACTACATGGATGTATGTCTGCAAAACCACAATCACAACATTATTTCTGCCACAGAGATCTCGGCAAAATACCTTTCCACTATTTTCCTACAAGCAGCAGCCAAACTCCTCAGCAGAGATCACTGCAGATACTAAAATGCCAGCTCTACGGGGTCTATGCTATTAGTAGGGAGACCAACATACCTTCTCTTTGGAGACGGCGATCGGGACTTTGACCGACTGTCAAAACAGAGTATCATCAATGCAGCTTCAAGGTCAAATGGAACTTTCATATTCAAAAAAATAAGCATCTTAGACAGCAATGGAATTATTCAGGAAATACTAGCCAGAAGCTCTTTAGAACAACAGTTTTCAAATCAACGTTTGCCAACAGTGATTCGCAATTCATTTAGTGTGGAGATTAATTTTAAGCGACTGCCTTCAGCAGACAAAAGGGGAAAACATGGGCTGGTTAGCCTGAGGTGAGGCTTTGAGAAAAAACATCACCAAAGACTCCTGCTGTTTTATCAAGTGTTAATCAACCTGAAGCCCTTTATCTGACAGATAGAAAAAACGAACAGAACTGAGCACAGACACAAAAAAATCAGTCCTATGTTGGAAACGACAAAGAGTTCATGAAAACAGCAGGATGGGTAAAGGAACGTATTCCAAATAGCTGCAGGGGAAATGTTATCATCTCAGTCATATCACAAACAGATTAGCTGGGCACCCGGTTTCGGGGGATTTTTTTCTAAAGGACCAGGCTCTGTTAATCATGCGAACCTAATGCTTAAACTCTAGACACTACTGCAGGCGTAATCTCTGTATGCTTACCTCTTAGCTGGTGAGCCAGATTTTGATCTGCCATGAGACCTAGACCTACAAGAAGAAAAAAACCACGGCTCAGCAGGGAAGCCGGTGGCACGCATGCTCCCACATTTGAGCCAGCAAGACTCAGGCTAAGTGTGTAAGAAATGTCCTCTTAAACAGAGTCCTGCATGTTTCCAGGGCTTCTCCTGCTAAGTTTCAGAAGAAAGCTTTTCAAATGGATGCTGCTTGTGTTGCTCTGTACTTTGGTCCCTGGCTGATGACTGGTGTTTGCTGGTGCAGGTGGCAGGCACCCACAAACAACCCAAATCCTGACCAGTATTTTCGCAAAGCTAACAAAAAGCCACGCTCTAAGCTTGCAAGTTTTATTAGGCTGGAGTGACACCTACCACAGCTGAAAGTGGCTGCAGGCAGCATGCTCCTACAAATACCTTCTCCTCAGTGCACTTCATCTTATGTATGCACTTGCTCACAGTATTTTTTCAAACACCTGAACTTAATCCTTGTGAAAAGACTGTTAAAAATGTCAGTCTTTGAGATAAGACTGCTGCAACGTAAGAACAGTAATACTGCCTAAAAAAAAATAACCAAAAATTTTAGGTTCCCAAAGGAAGCGTCCTACTTTCCACAACAACCTCCAGGTGTACACTTTGATGCTGTCACACCAGAAAACATCACGTAATACCTACTCAGGCTGCCTTCCTTACGAATCAAGAACCCGTCTCGGGGTGCTACGCATTCCTTTGATCCTTCTGGAAAGAAACCATCTTTCAATGGCCTCGTGGAAGTTTAACAGTGACTTCACTAGAGTTAAGCACACATATTTTGCCACTTCTCTGTACTTGCACATCTGTAACTTCCTCTTCCTCAGCTTCTTCATCTCTACTTAAAATAAAAGGTGTCACACAATAGTCTAGAAATGTCACTAAAATCACCCTTCATACTGCAGAAACCCACCCTGGTACTAAAAAAAAAAAAAAAAAAAAAAAAGAAAACAACGGTGGTAAAATCAAAATGTTTTTCTCTTTGAAAGCCTGCTGACCGTAGCTGTCTTCTGCACATCACTGACAGTGAACGGTGATGAACCACGAGTAAGTCACATCGGAACAACCGGTATTAAGCTTTAACAGATCTTAGCAACAGGTAGAGACAGTGTACCTGATCTGTGAAAGGCATTGCTCTATGGCCTCAGGGAATTTCCTTTCTCTTTTTCCTAGCTTCTGGACTGTTCGTGTGAGTTTCTGGTCTTCACTAAGCCATCTTCTAGTCTTCATCTCTCCACTCCCTGAAAACTCCTGTCGCTGCTCACTGTCCCACGCTCAGAAAACACCACCACTTTTCAGCACTGAATCTCCCACCTTTAGCTGAAGGCTTTTCCACTTACTCCCTTCAGCTTAAGCTTCCCTTGATTTTTTTGCATTTCTTTGTGGTTGACTATTATGTTAAGTACATCAAAGAGCAGCCAGCAGCCTACCAGAACAGTAGGCCCAGGAACGGGCTGGGCAAGAGCAGGACCATCTCCATCAGAGCTGACCTTCAGTTTACTCTTGTTCCCCTGTGACAGCTCACCAAGGACATCCCATCAATCTACATCAGCCACGCTGCCTGGATGAGGCTGCACAAAGCACAAGCTGCATTCACTTACTACGGGAGGATTAAACTACAGCTTAAGAGAACAAATCACATCCCGTGCTCCTTTAAAATTTGATTGTCACTCTTCTGGCACATTTGTCGGTGCAAAATAATTCTGACAGGCGTTTATCTCAAGTGTAATTCCATTCCTGCAGACTGACATGTTATTCAACAGAGCTGGAAACAGCTGTAACAAGCACAGCACCAGCAAGCCCTTCACAGCTCGCCTGGCTACATGCATTTACACTTTAACACGCCACCGGAAGGGCACCCTGATTTCTCTGACAAATAAAGGCTAGAATCCGCAATCTCATGTGTGCTACACAAAGAAAAAACCACAACTTCTCAGATCAATTCTAAATTTGTTTGCTGTTAATGCAACCTGATCAAAACAGTACTTAGGATGACTATTAGGACCTGGATATCAGTGATACGTAAAACAATAAAAAGAGAAAGAACCATTTTCTGCACTGCTTTTTAAAACTACAGATGCCTAAGTTAGCAGGGAGAAAACATAGCTTTTTCTGAAAATGTTAACAGCTGTTAGAAAGCCTAAACAGACTTTTAAGCAACTTTTACTAAGTATCTGCAGTCACAGAAGAGATCTTACCTGCTTCGGGGCCATGTAACAGATCTGGATCTAGATCTGGATCTTGACCTAGACCTGAAATAAAAAAATTAAGACAATTTAAAGCAAAATTAAAGAAGTCAACTCAACTAGAAGTGATCACAATTACAGTACTGCTCAGATTAACATATACACGTTGAACTTAAAACCTGCACAATCATTAGGTGTTTTAGACGTCAAAATCCATGATCAGATACACAGCCATGTGAGGTCTCAAAACTATACCATGCCTGTCAATTCAACTACAATCACCACAAACGTTTTAAACCATGCTAAAGTCTGATTTCTAGAGATCAACATCTTTTGAACTCTGCTGTCCAAAAACTTTTCGAATCACTTAACTAAAACAAAAAAAACAGAAAAAAACCCAAAGCAAACAACATCTTAAAAATTACTACTAATTACCTTGATCTCTTCAAGGAACCAGACCGGGACCGGCGGGGAGACACAGACCTAGACCTACGAGGAGAAATAGACCGGGACCTACGATACGAAGCTGATCTGGACCTGCAAAGAAGTCAATTAAAGAGTTGTACAAGTGCAGCATTTTCAGAGCAAAAGCAGTAAACAGGAATAAAAGAAAAACTGAAGCCTACCTCCTACCACGACTCCGACTGCGTGA